GTAGCGGAAGGCCGAAAGTGTATGAAGATGCGGAATTGTAAGCATTATTGGATGAAGATTCGTGCCAAACGCAAAAAGAACTTGCACTTACATTAGGAGCGACTCAACAAGCAATTTCACATCGTTTGAAATCATTGGGAATGATTCAAAAGCAAAGGAATTGGGTTCCATATGAACTGAAACCGAGAAACGTTGAACGCCAATTTTCCATATGTAAAATGCTGCTTGTCAGGTATAAACGAAAGGGTTTTTGCATCGTATAGTCACTGATGATGAAAAATGGATCCACTACGATAATCCAAAGAAGAGGAAATCATGGGGATCACCTAGCCGTGCTTCAACATCGACAGTCAAGCCGAATATTCATGGAAAAAAACTCATATTGTGTATTTGGTGGGATCAGCTTGGTGTCGTGTATTATGAGTTGCTCAAACCGAACGAAACCGTTATTGGGGCTCTCTACCGAATACAATTGATGAGATTGAGCCGAGCACTCAAGGAAAAACGCGCGAAAAACGCGCCCACTACTACTCTAGGCATGACAAAATTATTCTCCTGCATGATAATGCTCGACCACATGTTGCGGCACCGGTCAAAACCTACATGGAAACACTCAATTGGGAAGTTCTACCCCATCCGCCATATATACTAGACATTGCCCCTTCCGATCCATCTATTTCAATTGATGACGCATGGCCTGTCTGAGCAGCACTTCACATCATATGAAGATACCAAAAATTGGATAAAAGATGAAGCGTTCTTCCAATGCGGTATCCGTATGCTACTAGAAAGATGGGAAAAAATAGTGGCTAGCGATGGACAATACTTTCAATAAAACATTATGTACCGTCCTTTCACAATAAATGCTTAATTTTTGATAAAAAATGGCAGAAACTTATTTGTACTCCCAATAATAATAATAATTGCTTTCGTTACTTACGTAATAAATGATTAAAAGAATTATCTCTGATGTCGTCGCACAATTTGTAGATACATATGTAGATACCAAATATAGATACATATGAATAACAATACATTTTGTGAGCTGAGCATTCTAATTCTAAATATCGCACAATTGCGTATGATAAATATTATTAAACTTAAAGAATAGCTTACTGATTAAGAATGCATAACTCTCAAATGCTGACAAACTGATCTATTTTTAAACTATGATTAAAAATAAAGTAAAATGTTCAAGGTGAGGTACAGTGTTAATTCTTTCTTTTTTCTTTATGATAAAGAATACGATAAAAAAATCAATCAAAATTATTAATTTTCATGTTAGTTTTAATAATACATAAATTAATTTATAATACGTTTATATATAATATATATATAATACATTTAATAACACATTTAACAGTACATTTTAATAATTAAATTTCAATAATACATTTAGCAGTACAAATTTTTTCAATGTTTATTACATTTTAAAAGTCAATTATGCCGCCGGCATTAGCATGATCCAAGGTACACCACGCG